CACCCACCCCCGCCCACTTTTCATACCTGCCCCACCATCAAATCACCCAAATCCTCACCAAGACCAACAACCAATAACAATATCAATGTCCTGGTACATCCATCTGATCGCCCCTATACATTCTCTGACGTCTAGGATCGCCCCCATACCTTCTGTCTGTCACGTTATATTGCATGACGCTGCCACGTTATATTTTGCTACATAACAGTTACTGTTTCTCCCAACGACCTCCCAGAAACCTGACATAATTGGAAGAACCAATAAAAAAAAGAATTTACAGCAAACACGCCAGTCAATAAAAGGATCTGTATAAACGTGGTAGGGAACGAAATGAAAGGGCGAATAAATGTTTTATTTTTTCTAGTTTGCGAATAAATCTTTTATTTAGATGGCGTTTCTTTTTGTGACAATATAGCCTTTCTGTCGAGGGTCCTGTACTAAAAAAATGTGTATGGCATCGTAGTGAAATCAGGTACTCGTCAAAAAACTGAAATCGAAGATATCGAAGGTATCCCTATGTGCAATTTACATTGATCTTTTTTTTGTCTCGAGACTTTTTATGTCCTTTTGAAAACATATTTCTTTGTGGATTTTACGGAAAAACGCTGATCAAAGGCACAAAAAAATGCAGGCCTACATTTACAGTTTTCAAGGACACTCAAGCTTTGGAAGTTACCAATCTTGGGCGGCCATTTTTCTCACTTATTTTACTCCTGACACAGGACTACCTCCAACTCCTTCAACTGTAAATACAGTATCCCGACTTATATTCAAGAGAAAAGGGTATTCCTTTTTCATCCTAAACAAGACAAATGAACATGCTTCAAGATTATCTCAATAACTCCAGGTGCCCGAACATTACCGAGCACCTGATTCCACCATGCCTTGACACATATTATATCTCGTCTCCTAATTGGTATTCTTTTACTTTACTTACTTTTATCCGATGCTTATACCCTTTTGGGTTTCGCGGGAAGAAAGAGACGTTTCTCTGTCACCAGCCGGAGAGCTTGGGTCAGGGGGATGCGTGAGTTGTTAATATTTCCATGACTCCATCTATCCTGGCCTTGTTGCCGTCGAATTTTTTTTTATGTAGGCACGTTGTGGTGGGTGGTGTGTTGGTAATCGTAGGAGATGTCCGGACCTTGATTCTTTGGTGTTGGATGTGATGCATGACATCATTTGTGCCCCCCATTTCTCTTATTACTGAGTTTCTAATTGTGTCTCGCCTAGTCTTGTTTACTGCTTTTCTAAGGCATCGCATTTCACATGTTGTAATTCTTTGCTCTAATGTCTTGTTCGTGGTCTATGTTTGGCATTGATAGGAGAGTGTTGGGATGAATATGGTGTTGATCATTTTGAGTTTTCTTGTCATGGGGATGTTAGGATGTTTCAGTAGTGGAGTAAGCTGGTAACTAACATAATTGACCCTTTGTATTGGTATTTCAATTTCTCTGTTCAGTCGCCCATCCTCTGTGAATATACTTCCGAGGTACTTAAATTCTTGGACCTGTCTGAGACTGTTGTTGTTGATGTGTATCCTGAGTGGTCCTGGCTTTCTGCTTACTTTCATTGTCTCTGTTTTGTTGATGTTGATCTTCATGTCATAGTTGTTACATTTTTCGTTTAATCTGGTAATGTAATGTTGGAATTGGTATATTCCAGATCTTAATATCTTAATTGCGAATTATTTAGTCCAATTCTCTTGACTTTCTTTAAATATTAAGATCTGGAAAGTTCCACTGACTTCTGTCTTTTCATGGTTTTGGCTACTTGCGATGCACTCCAAAGACGCGCGTGCACACTCACACACACACACAGACACACACACACACACACACACACACACACACACACACACACACACACAAACACACACAATGTGACATCTACGTTTGGAAAGAATTTTGCCAAATATTTCCGTGTTTCTATTGGAAAATGTACATTTACTAACGCTCTCAACTTAAAATGCTTATTCACCATCGTTCACAACCTGGCTCATTTATCAGTTAGTGTTGCGATCTTCAGTAATTTGTTTACTGTAGGCCTATGTATTTTACACTCCCATCGACACAATTTATTTAAATAAGTCAAGCGTTACGCTGCTTTGACCCTGTTTGTTAGAACATAAATTAGGCTGAGAGGGATACAACATCCTAACAGAGTTATCGGGTTGATCGGATTTATTCGAAATAAAACTGTCTCATTCGGGAAGCGAAGTATAGTATACTGCGTGCCGATGCGACACGACTTAAGATGAATTGAATTCCATTTCCAACTGCTTCACCAGTGCGTAACATTCGGAGTCACCTGGGGAAAGGGGGGAGGGGGAGGGGGTGTGTCAAGTCTTACAGGAACTGGAAACAGCGAGCTGTGGTTGTTGTGATTCGCGAAGGTGTTGGGTGCTGTACATATTTTATTTGTTACCGCATCTGCTCTTTTGTGTGTCTGGTTTTAGGAAATTTTACTTTTTTTTCTTTTTTTTTTCTTAATTAAACGTGGGTGTTTTTACGCCCCCATCAACATCATTTACAGCATATCATTATGCAAGAGGGCTTCAACCAGGCCTGTAGGGCCAACCCGGGATGAGAAGGGCATAAAGTCCCAGCAGCAGAAACATCGAGATAATCAATAGAAATTCCACCCCCACGGGAATTGAACTCGGTCTTCTGCGTGTGACAGCGAAGCGCTAACCACCAAACCACGATGCCGGCCATTTTGTGTGCAAAGAGTAAGATTTCGATATCGTTTTGTGTGTGTGTGGTTTTTTTTGTTTTTTTTTAAATATTAATACATGAGTATCAGCTCTAGTGGCAACATCTGTAATGTTTCGCGTGTATTGTTGAGCATGCTTTTTTTTGGGGGGGGGGGGGGGGAGAGTGAACCATCGCGTAGTGAAGTGTCTTTGGTACAAATAGACTGCACCCTGATTTCTCTTGTCTTGGTTTCGGATCTTTCGACTCCTAGCTCTGCTTTATCGCTGCCTATGTTGAACAGCGTTTGTCATACATTTGTATAAGAAAGGGTATTTTAAAATTGTTTGTCTTGGCAGAATATTACTACCGAAGCAAAGTGTTGTATTGGAATACCAAGTTGTCGGCCTTCTGGAATAATCATACCACTTGTTTAATAGAGCTAGAAATAAGAACACACCAGGCATGATAACAATCAGGAGGGGGAAAAACATGCCATACATAATATCCAGAGGTTTGATTCGATTGACCATCAAAAACAGAAGTTATTTCAGACGCCAGATGATGTAACAATGTTGTAATGTTACTTTGATTTCTTTCTGGGAATGTGATTGAGGCTTGGGGTCATCGAGTGCGATGTTTCTCTGGCGTCTGAGAAGGGCGCACGAAATCAATTACAAATCAGCCGTCTGAAAAAAGTTCAAATTTGAGCAGCCCAGTCAGGCATAACCGCACCCTTCAGACAAATAAATTACTGCTGGGAGCGAGTGCTGTCTCATTCCTCTTGCGTTCTTTGACCACAATTCCGAGACTGTAATTAAAACAGGGGCTTCTATTTTAACACCTCAACTCCTATTCTAAGGCCAGGTTGAGGGTGCGTCCTTTCTAATGATGATTGGAAGCGATAGGGCTCACTATTTTAAGACCAGTGGATCGATACTCTGCTTTAGGGGGTGGGAAGTTGTTTATTTAGGAAACTCTTTCCAATACTCTTTCTTCCGTGTATCCGTATGCAAATGTGTAGCCTTCTTGCGAAACCGCAGAGGCGGTATGCACTGAACAGGATCAAACGATGCTGACAATTTTTATTCCTTTTTTGTTTTAGGGGTTTTCATAATTTTGGATCATCTTCAATTTATTTTGTGTCGACGGGGTGTAAAACATTCGCCATCAGTATTTTGTAGAGCTTTGGAAGGAGGAAGAGGGGAGAGAGATGAAATGATAACTTATAGAACGAGTTGGTCCGAACTTGTATTTGTAGAATAGTTGTAAATGATTCACGGTCACATCGACAATATTTAGGTCATTAAGAAGGAGGCTGTTTATCCCTGTCTGTCAGGGCCGACCCAGGCTAAGTGAAATACAACATCCCAGCAAACAGACGGAAATGATCCATTCATAGCTTCCCAAATCGAGAAACGAACTTTTTGTCGTCTACGCGCAACGCTGAACTGAGGAGCCTAATAGTCACATCCAAGGTACCGGTTGTCACTGTGTCAGTTTTTCTAGGAAGAATAAATACAAGACTTCCGTTATACACTTGTCGTGTATATCCTCTTTTACCGCAAGGTGCTGAAGAAGGAGAGATGCAATTACCTGACGTCGACCTTGTGTGTTGCCTTTTGGATTGTCATGTGTTGCTCGTGTGGGTGGGGGGATAGGGGTGGTTGTCTCTTTGATTCCATCGATCTATCTTTTTTATGGTCTACCTCTTGCTTTCAAACCATTGAGTTTCATATTGTAGGTGTATGAGACAGACTTCTGAGGCCCCATTCTCACAACAGAAATTTAAAGCACCGCAGCGTTAGGGTTGGCGAGTGTTCTGGTGTGGTTTGGTCCCACTTTCCTCTCAAACATAATATGTCGTCCTTCTCTCTTTTCCTCCTTTTTTAACATTTGTTACTCTTTCGGAACACCTCTTATGTTCGACATTTATGATCTAAATTGTATTGCAAGTGCCGTAAAACTATTAACGAAAATAAACAAAACAATGCACCCCCGCTTCATCTTGAATTCTCTCCTGTCTTCTAGGACAAGATGTCGTGGACGTGTGAGCGGTTGTGGCTTCTGCTGGTCCTCCTCGTGCCCTTGTGCCTCTCCCTCAGATACACAGGTAAGGTGAGTGAACACTTCAACTCAACCAATAGTCTCTCTCTCTTGTTATTGTGCTGTTATACAATGGAATTGTCATTGTAATTCATGCTGTTGTGGGGGGGGGGGGGGGGTTTCGAGCGGGTTCTGTTCACAGCTCTCCTGGAGGGAGGCACATAGTAGCCAGTTTTGCTGGTTGTTTCTGATTTGTTTGCCTGTTTGTTTATTTATTTGTGTGTTTGTTTATTCGTTTGTTTGTTTGTTTGTTTGTTCGTTTGTTTGGAATGGGTAAAGGGGAGAGGGAGATTATTGTTACAATAATTGTACTATTGTTTACGTCCCCAACAACAACATCTAAATCATTTAAGTAGCAGACTGCTTCTACCCTGCTGGCAGTGCCAACCCCAGTTGTGTGAGATACAACATTCCGGCAGATAAAGAATTACTCGAAGAAGAAAAAAACCTTTCCTACTCGGGAATCGAACTCGCACCTTTTGCGTGCAACGGCGAAGAGCCTGAACTGTACACCACAGAAGCCGGTATTTCTACCGTTCTCTCAATGTAGTTCAAACAATTGCTTGTCAAAATAGTGTTAAGTATTACAGGTTTAACTTTCAAGTAATTCTCGCTTTTGTTTTCTGATTTACCGTAAAGCTTTACTGAATATTTCTTGTAGTGGTTTTTGTTGTTGTTGTTGTCAGTTTGGGGGGGGGGGGGTATGGAGTTGTTTGCTCTTGGGTTGTTGTTTTTGTTTGTTGTTTTTGTTGTGGTTGTTGTTGTTGTTATTGTTGTTGTTTTTGGTTTGTTGTTTGTTAGCATTTTTGTTTGTTGTTATCATCTTGTTTGTTGGGGGATTTTTTTAGAGAAGTGGCGAGATTGAACCCTTAGGAGACGTACTGGAAAGAAGTTGCACTGTCTGCTTGTGTGGCAAGGAACTTCAAAAGCCGTTTATTTAGAGCTAGAAATCTGTCAGACAACAAATAAGAACAGGCCATACAGGGTTAAGGATGGACGTCACAGTCTTTCGAATAAAGCACTCGTGATAATAATTGACTATTTTAAGCACGAGTAAGTAGAAGTCGATCGGTAATCGGATTAGTAAGTTGTTGAACCCGTAAACTTGATTTATAATATCCAAGTTATTATACTGTGCAAAGAGTGGCGGTCATAATAGTGCTCGGACTAGGATATTTTAAGTATATGGCCGATCCTCATTACCCGTAGTGAAGTGTCTTTGGTACAAATAGACTGCACCCTGATTTCTCTTGTCTTGGTTTCGGATCTTTCGACTCCTAGCTCTGCTTTATCGCTGCCTATGTTGAACAGCGTTTGTCATACATTTGTATAAGAAAGGGTATTTTAAAATTGTTTGTCTTGGCAGAATATTACTACCGAAGCAAAGTGTTGTATTGGAATACCAAGTTGTCGGCCTTCTGGAATAATCATACCACTTGTTTAATAGAGCTAGAAATAAGAACACACCAGGCATGATAACAATCAGGAGGGGGAAAAACATGCCATACATAATATCCAGAGGTTTGATTCGATTGACCATCAAAAACAGAAGTTATTTCAGACGCCAGATGATGTAACAATGTTGTAATGTTACTTTGATTTCTTTCTGGGAATGTGATTGAGGCTTGGGGTCATCGAGTGCGATGTTTCTCTGGCGTCTGAGAAGGGCGCACGAAATCAATTACAAATCAGCCGTCTGAAAAAAGTTCAAATTTGAGCAGCCCAGTCAGGCATAACCGCACCCTTCAGACAAATAAATTACTGCTGGGAGCGAGTGCTGTCTCATTCCTCTTGCGTTCTTTGACCACAATTCCGAGACTGTAATTAAAACAGGGGCTTCTATTTTAACACCTCAACTCCTATTCTAAGGCCAGGTTGAGGGTGCGTCCTTTCTAATGATGATTGGAAGCGATAGGGCTCACTATTTTAAGACCAGTGGATCGATACTCTGCTTTAGGGGGTGGGAAGTTGTTTATTTAGGAAACTCTTTCCAATACTCTTTCTTCCGTGTATCCGTATGCAAATGTGTAGCCTTCTTGCGAAACCGCAGAGGCGGTATGCACTGAACAGGATCAAACGATGCTGACAATTTTTATTCCTTTTTTGTTTTAGGGGTTTTCATAATTTTGGATCATCTTCAATTTATTTTGTGTCGACGGGGTGTAAAACATTCGCCATCAGTATTTTGTAGAGCTTTGGAAGGAGGAAGAGGGGAGAGAGATGAAATGATAACTTATAGAACGAGTTGGTCCGAACTTGTATTTGTAGAATAGTTGTAAATGATTCACGGTCACATCGACAATATTTAGGTCATTAAGAAGGAGGCTGTTTATCCCTGTCTGTCAGGGCCGACCCAGGCTAAGTGAAATACAACATCCCAGCAAACAGACGGAAATGATCCATTCATAGCTTCCCAAATCGAGAAACGAACTTTTTGTCGTCTACGCGCAACGCTGAACTGAGGAGCCTAATAGTCACATCCAAGGTACCGGTTGTCACTGTGTCAGTTTTTCTAGGAAGAATAAATACAAGACTTCCGTTATACACTTGTCGTGTATATCCTCTTTTACCGCAAGGTGCTGAAGAAGGAGAGATGCAATTACCTGACGTCGACCTTGTGTGTTGCCTTTTGGATTGTCATGTGTTGCTCGTGTGGGTGGGGGGATAGGGGTGGTTGTCTCTTTGATTCCATCGATCTATCTTTTTTATGGTCTACCTCTTGCTTTCAAACCATTGAGTTTCATATTGTAGGTGTATGAGACAGACTTCTGAGGCCCCATTCTCACAACAGAAATTTAAAGCACCGCAGCGTTAGGGTTGGCGAGTGTTCTGGTGTGGTTTGGTCCCACTTTCCTCTCAAACATAATATGTCGTCCTTCTCTCTTTTCCTCCTTTTTTAACATTTGTTACTCTTTCGGAACACCTCTTATGTTCGACATTTATGATCTAAATTGTATTGCAAGTGCCGTAAAACTATTAACGAAAATAAACAAAACAATGCACCCCCGCTTCATCTTGAATTCTCTCCTGTCTTCTAGGACAAGATGTCGTGGACGTGTGAGCGGTTGTGGCTTCTGCTGGTCCTCCTCGTGCCCTTGTGCCTCTCCCTCAGATACACAGGTAAGGTGAGTGAACACTTCAACTCAACCAATAGTCTCTCTCTCTTGTTATTGTGCTGTTATACAATGGAATTGTCATTGTAATTCATGCTGTTG